AGTAAAGAAAGCCGCATCATAGCTGGGGTTACAATGGATTCCTATTACTTATTTTTTATTTATTTATGTTTTTGAGACGGAGTCTCACTCTGTTGCCCTGGTTGGAGTGCAGTGGCACAATCTCAGCTTACTGCAACCTCTGCCTCCCAAGTCCTGGTTCAAACAATTCTCCTGCCTCAGCCTCCCAAGTAGCTGGGATTACAAGCACGCGCCACCATGCCCAGCTAATTTTTGTATTTTTAGTAGAGATAGGGTTCACCATGTAGGCCAGGCTGGTCTTGAACTCCTGACTTCATGATCCGCCCACCTTGGTCTCCCAAACTGCTCGGATTACAGGTGTAAGCCATGGTGCCTGGCCAATGGATGCCTATTTCTGAAGGAATGACAAGCATTGGTCCATAAGCACGGCTGTTGGGTTACTGGAACTGCAGGTGTATGCTAAACAATGATGAACAATATTCCAGTTCTCTCTGGGCCTATTTGACTGTGGAGACAGTTTTCTGTATTCACTTTTTGAGATATTCTTTCTAAGAACTCCCATCACCTTAAGTAACCTGGGTGGCTCTGCTCTTACAACCTCAGAAAGTAAGGGTTACAATAATAGAATTGTTATAGCTTTCACATTATCATTTGCCTATGCTCAGTTATAAAAATGTACCATAGCATGATAGTAACTGGATCTTTTAACGTAGTATTTTCTATTTCCTTGTGACCTATCCCCATTGGAGTAGTCACCCAAGAGTAACCACTGCCTCAAGAGAAATTTAACACAAGTAAAGGAGAGAACAGAAATCAATATCTGGTGTATAGGATCAGAAGCAAGGATCCAGGTATAGCATTAGAAAGAATATGTAATCAATTGGATCCAGTTTTTGTTTATCACCCCTCTTCTTTCCTATTTAGATAAGATGTTTCTCTGAGAGGATAGAAACAAGGAAGCAAGAGAAGTGTATGCTGTAGGAGGAGGTAGTCCAAAATAAGAGGCTCTGTTCTGAGCTTTTTGAGGGGGGAGTGAGTGGGGGACAAACATGGAGAGTAATATAAAGCCCAGATAAACTTGGTGTGGAGAAATGAGACTGAAGAAATTACCAGGTGGAGTCCAAGAGTATCTTAGCTTGCTTGGTCTGCCATAACAAAATACTATAGACTCAATCCTATCAGATTAGAACTCTACCCTTATGACCTCATTTAACCTGAATTACCTCCTTAAAGTTCTATCTCTAAATAAGGTCACATTGGGGATTAGGGTTTCAACATATGAATTTTGAGGGGCACAATTTAGTCTTTATCAAAGGAAGTGGTAAAACTTGTTTTTCTCCCTCCAGGAATTCAGGAGAAAAAGAGTAAAAATGGTATCCAATATGTTTAGTTTGTGAAAGCTTGATATAGCCTCAGTTTCCTGCAACTCTAAAAGAATATTTAGATTTTTCCCTATGCCTTTGAAAGACCATGGAAATAACTCAGGGCAGGGCTGGTCAAGAGCATGGAACTGTAACTGACTTGGATCAGCAACTTGGACAGATTGACAACTGAGATCTGAAACCATGGTGTGCATCTCAGAGGATGCCCATGTGGAATGACGATGAGCAGATGACCTCTCACCCACCTTCCTTATGGTCCCAGAGCTTAGTCGCAACTCCAGAAATGAGGACTTGAAGCCCCAGAATTAACTCAGGAGATCCTGACATGACTGAAGTCTCTGAATTTACTAAAGGAAACTAGGCTTGGGTGAGCTTACACAGAATTAACTAAAATGAAGTTTCTGTCACCTGTGGAATGGTGCCCCAAATAGAAATTATAAAAGATACAGAAAAATGAAGATAATTGTATTTCCTGCACACATGAATGTGAGGCCTGAAAATAGTACAACTTCATTGGTAGAATAATCTGTATGTGTGCTGAGGAGAAATAATGCAGTATTGAGTCATTTCAAGGTACATATGACTGTGCTTACAAATATCTTGTGACCTTCAGAGGATCTTCTGAACTAAGTTTTACATCTTCAACTGCAGTCAATTTCTTTTCTAGGTCACTCTAGCTACATGGTGTGAGACCCTCATAAAATCTTTAACCTAGAGACAGTTATTTTCTTAGTTTCCTGCATTTCATTTGGAGACCGATAACTCTGAATTCATTTACTGAGTTTGTCACTTACAGCCTATGACCTTGGATAGGTCATTTAACCTCTCTGATTTTTGGCTTCCCCTTAAATAGAATGGGAATAATCAAGTACCTATCTCATAGCATTTTATGTTCATGAGATAAACCCATTCACAAGGCATAGCATGTAATACCTAAAGTGGTAATTTCTTTTATGCATCTGTGTATTAAACTCTTGGAGGAAAACAATGCAAGTTTCACTAAATCATGATTTACAGTTTATCAGACTAAGAGATTTTGAGAACAAGTAAACTCTTCTATTGGTTGAGGGTAGTTGTTTTTGTATTTAATTGAATGTAGACTCAGGAAAACTGAAAACCTACTGCAAACAATTAGAGACTTCAATAAAGTGAAGTGGCAAAGTACAAAATTACATGGAATCAATAAGCAAAAATCATAGTTTTCATATTTCCAATGACAAAATAATATAAACTATATTATATATAAATTATATTAAATATAAAAATCTAGGAATAAACTTAAGAATAGGAAAGATCTGCATAAAGAAATATCTTAAATTCAACCTAGAGACATGAAAAAGACTGAGACCAATGGAAAGGATCATATTCTAGGACTGGATGGAGGACTCAACATCATAAAGATGTCAAAGGCCAAGCACAGTGGCTCACTCCTGTAATTCCAGCAGTTTGGGAGTCTGAGGCAGGCAGATCCTAGGAATTCAAGTTCAGCCTGGGCAACATTGTGAAACCCCAATCGTTACAAAAAAAAAAAAAAACAAAATCCCCAAATTAGCCAGGTGTTATGGTATGTAGTCCCAGCTACTTGGGAGGCTGAAGTGGGAGGATCACTTGAGACCAGGAGGCAGAGTTTGTGGTGAACGGAGATTATGCCACTGCACTCCAGCCTGGGTGACAGAGTGAGACCCTGTCTCAAAAACAAACAAACAAACAAAAACCAAACTCAAGTCTCCCAATGTTAACTCACAAATTTAATGTAATATTATTATCAAATTTTTAATGTATTTCTAAAAATATCTTTTTTTTTAAACATGGAAACTAAATGAAGGGATTCTAAAGTTCATATAAAAAACATATAAGTGGCCGGGCGCTGTGGCTCAAGCCTGTAATCCCAGCAGTTTAGGAGGCCAGGGTGGACAGATCACTTGAGGTCAGGACTTCCAAATCAGCCTGGCTAACATGGCAAAACACTGTCTCTACAAAAAAAAAAAAAAAAAGAAGAAGAAAAAGAAAGAAAATTAGGTGGGTGTTGTGGTGTGCGTCTGTAATCCCAGCTACTAGGGAGGCTGAGGTAGGAGAATCACTTGAACCCAGAAGGCAGAGTTTGCAGTGAGCCGAGATCATGACACTGCACTCCAGCCTGGGCGACAAAATGAGACTCCACCTCAAAAAACAAACAAACAAACAAACAAAAAAACAACGCATAAGCAAAAGTAGTCAAATTTTGAAACCAAAAACAAGTAGAAACAGAGTTTTCTAGCAGAAACAAAAATTCCTTTTAAGGCTACAATTCATAAAATGGCATGGTATTGGTACATGGACAGACAGAGCTGATGGAATTTCTGGAGACAGATTATAGTAGATATAAAAACGTAATATATTTTAAAGATGGTATTCCAAATCAGTTGACAAAAGTTGAGTCCCATAGTAATGATCATTATTATAGTCATCTTTTTGTATGACACCTATACTTTATTTGTAAACATGGAGAACAACTGATTGTATGTTAGTGAGAGTATTTCCCTCTGGCCTGATCTAGTTTCTACTATTCAGGAGAACCATCCATATAACAGCTGTGGTTTGTGTCAGAAGAAAATTTAGTATTTACATTTTAAATTTCCGAAGGATAGAGTAATTCTATAAAATAAAAAATTATATTTGAGGAATAAAATAAAACTGTGAAATATATAACTGGAAAACTATGGCTTACTTTCCATTTTAGAAAGCAATATTATGATTTTTAGCCATATAAAATTTTATTAGAGGTAAAATATGTGGTAACTAGAAGCATCCTTTGGAAGAAGAATCGCTGCAGTTATTTTGCTGAAGTCCTAAGTTTATTGCTGTATTTCTAGAAATTTGAATATTAAAAAATAAAAAGAAGTGACAGGACACACTTTATATCTTTGTGTTTTTTTGTTTTGTTTTGTTTTGTTTTGTTTTTTGTTTTTTGTTTTTCTTTTTTAGACAGAGTCTTGCTCTGTCACCCAGGCTGGAGTGCAGTGGTGTGATCTCGGCTCACTGCAACCTCTGCCTCCCAGGTTCAAGTGATTCTCCTACCTCAACCTCCGGAGTAGCTGTAACTACAGGCATCCACCAACATGCTTGGCTAATTTTTGTATTTTTAGTAGATACTAGGTTTCACCATGTTGGCCAGGTTGGTCTTGAACTCCTGACCTCAAGTGATCCACTTGCCTTGGCCTCCCAAAGTGTTGGGATTACAGGTGTGAGCCACTGCATCCAGCCTCCCCACACTTTATATCTTGAAAGGATTAAACACAGCTTAAACTTACGTATTAGAATAATCTGCAGAATATTAATTTTCTTTTCCCAACAGCTGCATAAAATAATAAATTGCTTTAAATGAGAAAAAAAAAGTGAATGTGAAGAGACGTGTCTAATAGTCTACCAAACTGAAGGATTTAAAGGCATATATATATTTTTTTTTTTACAGAAGTTGCTGTGTGTTATTTAGCGAAGTCCCGATACAAATTCACTTAATTTGAAAGTCTAGCATCGATTTACCCTGTGATTTCTGGATGAAAGTAGATTGTGAATGATTCAGCTTATGTATATAGATGAAAATTCATGCCTATTTTTCAGAGGGAAAAATAAGCATTAATTAATCATAGAGTCCTCAGGAACCAGAGCAGAAGTGATGTTTTAAGAAACACACAATGAAAATCATTAGGAAATAATAAACAGTCCAGTTAGAATGGCACTTTAACAGACAAGTTTTTCATCAATAGTTACAGCCTCAGAGTCTATCCAAGTGACAAACATTTAGACAGTAAATAACTAGTGCTTTGTAGTAACAGATTTAAAAATGCTTTCACATCTATCAATACATTGAAATTGTCATTTGCTATCCAGGCAACTGTAATGAACAACTATAGATCAATTCTAACTTTAATACACGTTCTTTATGTCAGAAATGCAAAACTGAAATCTCCTATGGAGTTTTTTTCATGAACTGGAGCATCAGTGAGATGTATGAATTCCAGAGAAAATTAATTAATCCAAGTTATAGAAGCAACTGTATTAAAAGCTAACATTTCCAACAACTGAGGAGAGTTTTTGTTCCCCGCATTCCAAACTAGTTGGATTGAGTTTTTAATTGATCTGATGGCTTGTTTCAGCCTCATGGACAAAGTCAGGTATGGAAAAGTGTTAGGTGAGATTATTCTTCTGGAATAAAAACCTCTGGGAATTCTACTCTAAATTGGCAGCCATTTGTCATTACAATAAATAACAAGTAAATATTGTTTTTGTATAAACTTATATATCAAGAAAAAGTTAAGAAAGGAAAGTGCTAGAGAAATGTGTTGTCTTATATAACGACGGTTAATAAGTACATTGTTTTTATATTCTTACTTTTACTTTTTTTCTAGAGTGGAAGAAGGTAGTCAGATTAGCATTACAAATCTTGGACTCCAGAAAGGTGGTTGAAACTTGGGAAGGGGATGTTTTCAATGTTTGGAGGTTGCTCTTCTCTGGCTCTTTTGACTGTGTGTGCACTCTTTTTCCAAGAACGCTTGTGTTTGGAAAGTGCTTCATGGTGGTGAAAAGTTTGAACAGAAAAGATTAATCAAAGCTTGGATCTTTCATTCTCAACGCATAACATGTTCGGCTCTTAGATGTCAACTCTTAGCCAAGAAACTATTCAAATATTATTCAGGGGCTGAATGTGAGCTTTAACTGCAAACAAGAGATCAACTTTACTTAGTCTTAACTCATTCCCCTTAAGTTCAGAAATGCTGTGCCTTAAGGACTTAAAAAAATATTTTCTGCATAGCTCCTAATATCATATAAGAGGTCACTGAGAGTTTTTTTTTATTTATTTTATTCTTAAATGCTTAAGGAAGTATAATCATTTGACCTGAAGTATGAAGGAAACAGGAAATGATGGACTATGACTGTACCACATCCAGTGTGCTCTTAGAGGGGAGGAATGCTCTAGTCTACATAGTCTTTATTATTTAGTACAATATGACAAAATAATACACAACAACTTCTGTAAAAATTCTGTATTCTGATCAGGAAAGTGTTTTTATCTATACTACCATTCCTGCCTCCAGTACTTTCTGACTTACTCAGCTTTCCAGTGCTCTCAGACTTTTCTCACTTCTCCTGGAATCTGTAGCATACTATAAGCTTTGGGTTATGTTACTCCCAAGGAAGAAGGCATAACTGTAGGAAGAACTATTGCCCAGACTTGATACACATTCCCAAGCTTCCAAGATGGAATCCTGGAAGAATGCACCTCTGCCCCAGCTAAGGAAGGCAAGTGCAGTCCTTCTGGTCTATCCTATGATGTTCTTCTTCCGCCTGCTCACTCCAGCCCTGCAGTGCATCCACTTCTTGAAGTTCAGGAGCATACCCTGATCTGCTGCAAAAAACAAACAAAAAAGTTTCATGAGATGAAAGCACATTGCATTGGCAAGCCCAACGATTGTCCACATATTGAGAAACTTCCAACTTGCCATATACTAAACTAGATCTTTTTCATAATTCAGAAATCATGTCCTCTTTACATCTCTTTTCCTTATCAATTTGAAAAAGAAGCAACTGAAGGAAGACCTGTTTTAAAGAGTCACTTGGTCAGGTCATGATGCTTAATGGCAACCAGATGCTTAAAGGATGATTGGAGCCTAGATACTCTGTCTCTAGGATCCAGTGCTTTAAAAAGTTATAATTGTTTTTAGAAGATTCCCACACAAAGTGGACTTAGGGACCTATAATCACAATAATGCTTTCCACATGCACTGTATTACATTGGAGTATACATTTCAGTTAATATGTGCTAAGGAGTTGAGGAAAGGTTGTATATGATTCACAGGAAAAAATTAGGCACCAGTGTCTAAGACAATGCCTGGTCCTTGGTGGGGAACCAATTAAGTATTTGTTGAATGAGTGAATACAAGATACTTACTGAAAACAGAAAGACACAGAAAGAATACTGCCCTTTAGAAGCTAATAGTGGGACGTTTCTTACTACTGTGACTCTAAGGAGGGTTATATCACCATTTAAACATCTCTGGGTTCCAAGAGGCTTCTAATAAACAATGTTATTTAGCCAAGGGGGTGTTAATTAATTATACTAAATATAACCATTTTGGGTGAGCATTAATAGTGAAGTTTTAAATTAATTTTGAATGTAGCTATTTAGTGACATTAAACAGGGAGGGGGAAAAAACCTGTCTGTGATTGATGTTTATTGTAGTTCTTAAAAAGGTTTTTTAAAGGTAATAAAACATTTCCCCTTGCTATTATCATTTGTCTGTAAATATTGATTTAATATGGTTTGAACATAGGCAATGCCTTCCCAGGACTACAATTCAAGTTTTAATCACCAGAAGCAAACTGAGTGCAAGATGCCACTTGACTATATAATCAGTGCTGACTACTTGATTTCCTTTTTTTTTCACATGAGTTTATGTTGTCTGTCAAAAATAGACCACAAATGTGTGTGTGTGTGTGTGTGTGTGTGTATATATATATATATATTTTTTTTTTTTTGAGACAGAGTCTCCCTCTGTTGCCCAGGCTGGAGTGCAGGGGTGCAACCTTGGCTCACTGCAAACTCCACCTCCTGGATTCAAGCAATTCTCCTTCTCAGCCTCTTGAGTAGCTGGGATTACAGGCACCTGCTACCAAGCCTGGCTAATTTTTTTTGTATTTTTATTAGAGACGGGGTTTCACATCTTGACGAGGCTGGTCTGGAACTCCTGACCTTGTGATCCACCCGCCTCAGCCACCCAAAGCGCTGGGATTATAGGCATGAGCCACCACGCCCAGCCACAAATTTATATTTTTAAAAAGTGCCTACCATCATTAAAATTAAACTGTGCATAAACATTATTTATTGTGGGCCCACTATGCATCAGATTCTGTGGCCTTGACTTATATTATTTTATGAAATTTTCATAACAACCTTGTAAGTTAAAATCCATGTCCCTAGTATACAGCTGAATTAACTGAAGCCACAGAGTTATAAAATATACCCTTTGGTTATCCTCAAAGTAGTTGCCAAGCACAGATTAAGTCTATCAATCAATTGCCAAACGCCTCTTCCCCCAACACTAGTGCAACCTTGCCAGGAAGTGGCAATAGTTGGTTTTCTTCTTCAGTGTCAGTTTCCTATCCATATTAAAAAATAGCTAAAAAACAAAACAACAACAAAAAACAAAACAACAACTAATTGGTTAGTATCTGCAATTTTACCTTAACAATAAACGTTGCTTATGTAACTTTTACAGAAAGCTACATTATTTGATTATAACTCTGTAATGAAAACACATTTATTTAGTACTACAACCTTGAAATATACAGTAATTATTATATTCAGTTCAGGCTAAGAAGTTAGACACATTCTTAAAGAAAAGGGCATGACTGAACATTAGGGATGTAAGAAAACAATGATCTTAGGCCGGGCGCGGTGGCTCAAGCCTGTAATCCCAGCACTTTGGGAGGCCGAGGTGGGTGGATCATGAAGTCAAGAGATCGAGACCATCCTGGTCAACATGGTGAAACCCCGTCTCTACTAAAAATACGAAAACATTAGCTGGACATGGTGGTGCCTGCCTGTAATCCCAGCTACTGAGGAGGTTGAGGCAAGAGAATTGCCTGAACCCAGGAGGCGGAGGTTGCGGTGAGCCGAGATTGCGCCATTGCACTCCAGCTTGGGTAACAAGAGTGAAACTCCGTCTCAAAAAAAAAAAAAAAAAAGAAAAAAAACAATGATCTTTAATTTTTTTTTTTTCATATTATTTTCTACGCCATTAACATAATGGCTTATACTTATGTAGTATAAAGGATATCTGAAGACTTAAAAAGGCTCTGCAAACATTTATTTCTATTAACCTTAAAGTTAATTTGACTTACTTATCTGGTATGATGCTTTTATTCTGTAATTGAAATTTCATAATATAAATGACATACATTTCTATGCATAAGGGTTAGAAAAAAATTATACTGGAATTTTTAATTTACCTAATAGCTTTTTGACTAGATTTATCACTCATACACCCTCTCAGGAAGAAGGAAGAAAGGAGAGAAGAAAGAAAGGAATGAAGGGAAGGAGGGAGCGAGGAAGGAAGGGAGGAAAGAAACAACGGGAAAAAAAGAAAACAGAAAAACAGAGAAGAGAGACAAGTGATTTGAAGGTGATAGAAGCTTCTGAAAACATTTTGTATAAATGATGATACAGACATTTCTTTAAGTTTAGCTGAATTGTGCAGACAGAAGTTTTTGCCATTTAAAAACACTTAGGGAAAAAAATTTAAGTAAAAATATTTTGTGAAGACAAAATGATTTTTTAAAATAAAGTGTACTTGGCATTCTGTAGCCCATACTGCAGTCTTTTTATTTAGATACCATATACATTAACTGGCATTTTAGTTTGAAACATGAATTTTCTCCTGTTGGCTGAATCATAGATTAGGCTCTAGTGGGATCCCTATTTAAATTCCAGTGTGTACTGAATAGAACTGTATAGAGTTTAGCTAGTTTGAAAAATCAGGAGTGAGGCCCATTTGACATTTTATGCGTATCTTTTCTTTATTTCATTCTTCCTCCTCAACTGTATCCCTCTCCCAATGCATTGACATTAGCGTGGGGGGTAATTCCCGTTCACTTGCTTTGCTTCTTAAGAGCTGCCTTCCCTTCCAGTCTTGGGCAGCTCCACCCCTTCTCACAGACCAAAGTAAATCTGCACAATAATGAGCCATATAAGGGAGGAATGACATCATCAGTTAGTGGTCCCAAGCTGTTTTGCACAACATTCACCTTTCATTGTTCTGATGACAGGGCTGGAATGTGACGGTTAATTCCCTGTGGAGTAGGGGGCTGAGCAAGGCCTGCTGCTGTTGAACAAACTTCAGTACCCCCTTATAAAAAAACAAAAACAAAAACAAAGCTACTATGCTTCCTAGTATTAAGGTAAGGAAGTCAAGATCTGTTTTGATTTAAGCAATGTTAGTTACTCTTGTCCATGGGCATTTCATTTGTTAATAGGCTTACTTTCGAGTAAACTCATTTGTAAGTGTTATTGCAAAGAGCATCTTGGAAGCTGGGTTTGGACATTTGTAGAGCCTGACTAATCTGACAAGGGCCCGTAAGAACTCGACAACCTTTCAGTTTGCAGCTACAGGTTTTACTGAGGGTGGATGGTGACAACTCTTGAAAATTACCAGCTTATTGTGACTTTCCTTGATGCCTCAGAGTCCTTGATTGGAATTGGCCAAGATGCACCTTATTGTGGTATGAAGAGTGTTCCTGGTTTTCTATGGTGGGGGAAGTAATCTCATCCTATAGAAACCTTGGGAGGTTTGTACCAGAACTGAAAAATCTCTTGTCTTACTACCATCAGCCCTACTAATGTGTTCTGAAGGCTTTTAACAGGCAGCCTTTCTATATACTGTAAAAGTATCTTCTAATGTATGATTTCTTGATGAGCAAGCAACTAATTTCAAGTAAAATATTCTTTCCAAAGGTTTGTTGTTATTGTTGTTGTGTGGATTTTCTGCAGCTCCCTCTTTGCATGTGTGGAAAAGGCTTGTAAAAGTTGGCAATGAAGTCGAATGCATAGTGATCCAAAGAAAGCCGTGTTTGTTCTGAAACACTCAGTGTGGCAGTGATAACAGAATAATAAAGTAAATAGGAGGCTTGATTTCAAAGTGGGAATTAGATTAAAGTTTGGATTATGTTAAACAATTGTGTAAAAAGTTGAACTTCAGTAATTTTTCAAAATGCCAAAAAACATTGTCTAAGTTCAGCAGAGTGTATAAAAATAAATAGCTTGATTTAGTGCTCAGTAGGGCTGAAAGATCTGTGAGTCTTTCACAAAAGAACTTCATTTGGCCAAAACTAAATTTTTTAGCGTGATTTAGATTCACATGACCCGTTTTATAGAAATTTGAAATAAGGGCAGATGGTATGGTTTTCATTTGTGTAGATTTAATTTGTGTAACATTGGTTGTTAATACTGTTTTGTCTCTGTGTTTAAAGTGATGAATATCTTGAGTTCAACTATGATGAAAATCTTGGGTTCCTTGATCCTCCTGCATTCTTAATTCCATGTGACTGGATGAACTTCTGTACTTGTAAAATTAAGTATCCTTTCCACAACAGAAGGATGCTCACACTTATTTTTTTTTCTAGATTAACAGTAGTCGAGATCAATACAAAATTAAGTCTGGGATTTTGGAGTTTGGTTTATTGTTTCGCCATTTTATTTTTTGAATTAGCTTTAAAGTTGTTTCAAAACTGGGTGAGATAATTGTTAAATAAATGTTAATATAATAATTTTTTTAATTTAGCAAAATTTTACATAACTTATATTTAAAACTTTTAAAAAGACCTTTAAATGTAATGGCAATAAATTCAACTGCCATTTTAAAAAGGGAGAGGTTTACTTTTCTGGATAAATAAATGAAAATACACCAATAAGTGATTTATATACTTAAATGTATACATAAGTTATGTCTATGTTATTTTAAACAAATCTTATTTGTGAAAATGGATCTACCCAAGAGACAAATTAGATTAATAGTGTCTTAATTAAAAGCTTTACAATAAAATGTTTTTATGTTGTGAGCTCCCATATGGTATAGGCTTAAAACCATGACTTTTGCCCAGCAGTGTATAAACATTATGTGTGGAGTAAAATGAGGTGTATGGTACCTTTATGGTACCATAAAGTCTTCAACTTGTTTGATTAGTCTCAGAAAACCTAATTCATGCTGCCAGCATCTCCCATTATGTTCTGTGTGACCACAGTGCATCCCATGGGGGAAAGGCTCCTCACACTGTGGGAGGTGTACCTGTGGGAGGAGACCCTCACACATGGGAGAGCCTCATGGGCTAAGGTTGGGGTGGTTACGTAAAGGGTTATAGTAGATGTGGAGGGACTGTGAATTCAGGGACTGAAAAGCCTACCTGCTTCTAATATCCTCCCTGCTCTCTGGCTTCCCCAAGAGAATCCCTCCATTTAACTTATTTTCTGAGGGAGAGAATTTCCTATGGCAATACATCTTTCCTAAATACAGCATCCCATAATTAAGTGTCATTTAAAAATGAGATACGAAGTCCTCTTGGAGTTGGGGAGAGAACTGAAGGGGCCACCTGGAAGCGAGAGCCCAAGGTCACACATTAAAGTGACAAACTTGTATGGTTCATGGCTTTTTCTGTTCCTAGTGAAAATTGTTAGGTAAATTCATTCACCTGGCTGATTCTTTATACACATTATCAAAAAGAACAGTACCTGCTTTTTCTTGTTTTAAAAATATTTCATCTAACCAATCTAGCGGGTATTTGAAAAGTACTTTGAACAACATAGAAAATAGGAAAACACGGCCGGGCGCGGTGGCTCAAGCCTGTAATCCCAGCACTTTGGGAGGCCGAGGCGGGTGGATCACGAGGTCAAGAGATCGAGACCATCCTGGTCAACATGGTGAAACCCCGTCTCTACTAAAAATACAAAAAATTAGCTGGGCATGGTGGTGCGTGCCTGTAATCCCAGCTACTCAGGAGGCTGAGGCAGGAGAATTGCCTGAACCCAGGAGGCGGAGGTTGCGGTGAGCCGAGATCGTGCCATTGCACTCCAGCCTGGGTAACAAGAGCGAAACTCCGTCTCAAAAAAAAAAAAGAAAATAGGAAAACACAACAAAAGGCATATTGCCTCAATCTTCAGGTTTCTGTTCTTATGTCCTCTCTTATGTCCCCCCAAAGAGGACATAAGAGCAAAAACCTGAAGGTTGAGAAAGACAAGCCCATGAGCCTACTGTGAACTGCTGTCTTGGTTCGTTCAGGCTACTATAACAAAGTACCATAGACTGGGTGGCTGATAAGCAACAAAATTTTTTTTCTCACAGTTCTGGAGGCTGAGAGTTCGAGATCAGGGTGCCAGCACAGTCAAGTTCTGGTGAGGGCCCTCTCCCTCGTTGCAGACTTCTGTCTTTTCCTTATACCCCCACATGTGAGAGCTCTCTGGGATCCCTTTTCTAAGGGGAATAATCCCATTCATGAGGGCTCCACCCTTCTGACCGAATCACTCTTCAAATGCTACACCTCCTAATACCATCACATTGAGGATTAGGGTTTTAATATACAAATTTTGGAATGTGAGAAGATACATTCAATTCATCGCAGTCGTACAGGTTGTAGTTTACAAGGGTCCCTGACCAGTGACAGAATGGGAGTTGAAATAGAGCCCCAGCATGGAATTGATTCCAGAGAGAGGAAGGAGATCTTTCCATTTCTGACAGATATGCCATATGCGTTATACCCCTGAGAGCAGGAGAAGGGTATTGGGAAAGCTGGCAACTGCAAAAACCCTGAACAACTACTTCCTCCATCCATGTCCCCATCCTTGGGTGTCCCCAAGTAGCCTATATTTAAAGCATAAATGGTATTTAACATAGCCTTGCCATATATATACACACACACACACACACACATATATATATATATATATATATTTTTAATTCCTATCCCCTAATACACTGACAATGGGGAGGAGACATTCTGCCCATCTTTGTTGAATTATTTAGTTAAGTAATGAATCATGATTATATTTCTACATGAGTCAGGGATCACATACTAGAGGGTGATACAGAGAGTTCCTTCTCAGTGATTCTCAAATATGGGACAAACAACTAACAATTCCCTAGACTAATTTTTATTATGACTAAGTGGTATTTATTACTTATATATTAAGCAATTTATTTTACAATATATATATAGCATTTATAAATTTAAATTAGCATGTTGCCAGATTTTCTTGAAGACTAAATCAGTATTTTACAATAGAGTCTAGCTGCCACCCAGTTTGCAAATACCTACTGAGTTTCTGCTTACCTGGTAGTAGGAAACGTAATCATCTCCGAGACGTATAATTTGTTGTCAGTCATGAACTTCTCATGGTTTTCAGTTGTTGCCATCTATGCATTTTAAAGGTAAATTACTATTGATTAAACTTCACAATCAGTTTAGTTTGTTGTGGTTGTTGGATTAACCTAAGAGAGGCCATAATGCAGATCCTTAGTTCATAATTTTGAACAACTAGTTCCAAGGCCCATCATCAACATGTCTATTCCAGAGCAGAATTATACATAGGCCTGAAAATCTGATGAACAATAAAACTTCATTTATGATAATTTACCTCAGTTTTGTGTGTATGCTATTTAAATTACTTCAATTATACTAGCAAAGTAAATGTAATTAAATTACTTGATTTTTAAAAAATTTATAGGATATATAATAATTTGATAGCATAAAATCGTAAATATAACTACAGGATCTTCTCTTATGAAGCAAAAGCAGTTCACAAAAGCTGCTAGCAACAGGTTTACTGATTTTTTCTCTTCTCTTTCAATTTTTTATCATCAACTTCTTTTTTATAGTGGGACTATGTGAAATAGGCCTTCTGTCCCACTGCACTTGACTAGGGTCAGAAAGTTTGAGATCACATGCTCCAAAACATTGCTGGTCTTTAAAAGACAAGAAGAGAAGAAAGCGTATGAGGGCTTTTGTAAACTCATCTTCACTGCTAAGAAATAGAAAGCAAAAACAAAGCTCAAAAGCTTTTGTCCTATTGGGAAGGATTCACCATTTCTTTATAAAAAATGATTCTCTAGCACTCAGAAATCAGAGCTGGAATCAGGGTGAGGAAAGTGAGGCTCTCTTGCCTTGGGTGCGAAATTTAAGGGGATGCCAAAAAACCCAGTAATCAAGATATACTATATTTTAATGCACTATTTTAAAACGTATCAAAATTAATGCAAAAATCCATGATGAAGAAAACATCAAAATTTCAAATGAAGACAGGCTCTGACTTTGCAGTTGTACAAACAAACCCTTATCTACTTCTCTCTCATCCCAGGCCTGCACAGTATATTAGGGGCATTAGATAAATTCTGTGTAGCTACAGTAATAATCACCATCTTGCAGAACTGAGGTAATTTATTCAGAAGTAACATTCTACAATTAGATCATTTGTAACACAAGGAATATGCTTGAGATCATGGATACCTCATGTATCCTGAGGTGATTACTATACATTGTATAACTGTATCAAAATATCCCATGTACCTCATAAGTATAAATACCTACTATGTACCCACAAAAATTAAAGTTAAAAATTTAAAAGTAATGCTCTGAGTTATTTGGTAAAACCATGCGCTATTATGTTAACAAGGTGCTTAGCTCTGTACTATACTCTAGTTGGGAAAAAATGCATTGTGACTAAAGACTTCAAACTACATGCAAGCTTGACTCTTTTGAGGTTCATTCATCTTTAATTACTATCATGCCCTTTTGGGTTTTAACCTGCCCTCTGTCTTGGAAGACAGAGAGGCATACACAAGGGGAGAGATGAAGAAAAGCAAAAATAGTGTTCTGAGAAGGAAATTAACATGGTCTGGCTAAGAAACAAGCTTAGGATGACTTTTAGGTGACATTTGTGTTGCAAAACAGGGTCTGATGGATTAAGATGGGGACAAGTGACAATGTCTTAAGGAATCAAAGAGACAATTGATGCTCTGGAGCTAATGCTGACAAATTTGGAAATGTGATTGAAAGGGTGGGAGTGTCAAGAATGTTGGGCAAAAGGACCCCTGAAATCTTACACCACTTTCTTTTCAAGAAAGAAAAGTAAGAATGAATATAGGCAGATGTGCCCTTAAATATTTAGGAGCATGGATTCCAAGGATGGTGGTTATCACAAGAATGAATAATCAGGATAAGCTTTAAAAAAATTCTCACTTCCCATTTCCTTCTCCCAGTTTGTCCTTAGACAATAAGAACAAAGATAAATTAACAAGTATCTGTGGAATATGACAGAGTGAGAATACTTTCTCTAGCATAAGTTTGACTAAGTATCAAATGGGTTCCAGTAAGGAAGGAAAGTGAAAGTCTCTAACAAACTATATAAACGTAGAAAGGAATAAGACAATCACCCATATTCACAGACAAATATGAAAGTTCCATGGCACTGTAAGGAAAGTAAAAATACAAACAAAGACTGAAGGAGGTGAGACTGGAGGTGAGACGGTGGGAGCTAAAGATTACAAAGGAGATTTTTAAAAAAACATTATCAGCTGGGCGTGGTGGCTCATGCCTGTAATCCCAGCACTTTGGGAGGCTGAGGCGGGTGGGTCACTTGAGGCCAGGAGTTCGAGAGCAGCCTGGCAAACATGTGAACCCCATCTCTACTAAAAATACAAAAATTAGCTGGGCATGGTGATGCATGCCTGTAATCCTAGCTACTCGGGAAGCTGAGGCAGAAGACTCACTTAAACCCGAGAGACTGAGGTTGCAGTGAGCCAAGAGATCATGTCACTGCACTCCAGCCTGGGTGACAGAGTGAGACTCCATCTCAGAACAAACAAACAAGCAAAAATATTGTTACAGAAAATTTCAAACATCTACAAGAGTAAAGAGAATAGTATAATGAACACCCATGTAGCCATCACTAATCTTTGACAATTAATTAACTTATGACCAGAGTGGTTTCCTCTATTTTCACTCCCCTGAATTATTTTGATACAAATTTCAGATATATAATTTCAAATATTTCACTATGTACTTCTAAAAAATAAGGACTCTTAAAAAATAAATGACTCTTGCCATAATCCATTATCTCACCTAAAATTTAATAATTATTTCTCAATAATATAATTTTTCCAATTATCGCATTTAAAAAAGTAGTTTGAATAAGAATCCAAAAGGTTACAATTGGTTGATATGTCTTCTAAATTTGTAAAAAATCCATAGCGTCCCCTTTCTGCTCCTATTTCATCTTGCAATTTATTGATTGAAGCTTGTTTATCCTATATAGTTGTCCACATTTTGGATTTTTCTGATTGCATCATCATGAGGTCATTTAGCAGTTTCTTGCTCCTATCTTTCCTTTAAACTAGTAATTAGTAGTTATAGGAGCTTGATTTGATTCAGGTTCAGGTTTTTTTGTTAAAAGAATCTTTCTTGGGTAGAGGTTTGTATACAATGTCTGGCTGTCTCTCTTTTTGAGAAACACTGATAAGCATTACCTACATCCATTATT